ATTATTGCATTCTTCCTCCGCTTGATTAAAATGATTTTCTTCTTCCTCGCAGACAATTGGTAATTTACCTTTATTAACAGAATCACCGGTCTGTGGATTAACAGATGAAGTTCCTTCATTATTATCAGATTGAATATTTTTCTTTTTCAGTCGCCATTTTCGTTTGTATTCATTACGCTTTTCTTTATTATTCTGTTGATATATTTTCTGTTTTTTCAATTCCGTCTCCCTATTTTTTTGGTAGTAACTCTTCCGACATTGAATTCTTTCGCTTCTATTCCTTTTATAGTAATTTTTCTTAGTTTCATTTATCTTTTCCTTATTGTGTTCTCGGTATTTCCTTTGACGTTCAAGCACCTTGTCTTTATTTTGCTCATAATAATTTCGATTATTTTCATTCAATCTTTCTTTATTGTTTTGACGGTAAATTTTCATATATTTTTTCATGTATTCACTTTTATCATTCACTTTGTCTCCACCTTTATCTGTCTCCTTTGTAATTTTTAATTTTGGTTTTAACGTTTCTTCATATTTTTGCTTTTGGGGATTGACCGACGATTCAGCCTCATTATTTAATATTTTAGTCATATCTGTTGACGTGTAATCCTTTACAGCATGTTTAGCTAAACTTTTTCGAATAGAAACAGTTTTAACAAAAGTCCATAAAATTGCAATGCAGATTGAAACGATTAAAAAATTATCAATTTTCATCCTAAACAAATTTTAAAATTTAATTAAAAATTAACGGAAAATAATAAAATTTTTAATTTATTTAAATGTAAATATGTGGGAGAATGTTTAAAAGGGCAATAAAGCTAGAGAATTAAGATATCGAAAAGACAGATTATGAAATGTCAAAGTGCAGCCGTACTTTCGTTTTTAAATATCAAAATAAATAAAAATTCATTGAAAGGAAAGTGCAAAGCCGAGAAAACAAATTACCTAATAATTAAGCACAAAAAAGAAAGATTCGAATAAAATGTTTAAAAAAGTGTTTAAACTCTATTTCCATCTAGAGCATCTGATAGCTTTATAATCCGTTTTATCCCTGATATCACTCCAAATCATATCCATCCATACCCTTAATGACTCGCTAAAATTTAGTGATACGTCAATTTTTTAATTGAAAAATGGCTAATATTTGCTAAAAATTTTGCTGCGTTTTTGCGTTGTTTTTTCGTTTGTAGTAGCTATTCAGTTGACTCCCACAAATTTATCAAAAAATTTAATTTTTTAATTTAACAAGAGAAAGCAATTCATTTTTAATGCACAAACAGAATTTATATAAAAAATGTAAGGAAAAAGTGAAATCTTATACATATTATATGTATTTTAAGTGAAGAAAAGTGAAGTTAAGTGAATTATCTAATAATCAGCAAAAAATATATAAGGCAAGCAAAAGGCTTGGAAAAAAGATAAGATCTATAATTGTTTAAAGCTTACAATAACTTATGGGAAGAATAAAAAATGTATATTTCTTGGAATCGTCGGAGCTTATTTGCGACATCGTCTTTTGTTTTTGGTAATAGTCTCATGCGCCCGCCCCTGACCAATATACATTCCCCCAGTCTCAGCACAAATTTGCATGAAATTTATTTAATTTTCACCTCCAACTATTAAAAATAGAATTGTCTTTTATTCTTTAAAATATTTTAAAATTAATAATTCTAAAATTAAATTTTGTATTTTTCTACTCTTTCAATATTGTGCTCATAATTTTTAAAGAATTTTTACCGTTTTAAATTTGTGTCTTTTCTTGGAGAGACTAAACTTTCCTTAGTAACCATTAATTTTAATTAAAATTTCTTTTTTCTCTTGTTTATTCTCGAATGTATGAATACCTGTTAGACGTTCACCTTTAGACTATATTTTCTTCAAAAATTTTTTTATGTGTTCCTCTTATTTATTACACCAAAAATTATTTTTAAAAATCAAAAAGTTGGAGTAAAGAAAAAAGAAAGGGTTCCCTTCTAATTAATTAATTAATTAAATTAATTACTCTGGTTGTGTTTCTCGCCTGAGGGCTGTCGGAATTCTTCTTTCTATTTCTAATCATTATACATTTCCGATTTCTGATAGCTCCGAGTTCCATCAACTTTGCCATTTCTGACCGATCTACATAAAAATTTTTTGTGAGAAATTTTTTTGGTGTTCCCCTCCCTTACTAAACCCCAACAACTAAATTTATTTATTACACTAAAAAATTATTTTTAAAAATCACAAAGTTGGAGGAAAAAAAGGTTTCCCTCCCCTCTATTAAATTTTTTAATAAACAAAATTAATTAATTAATTAATTAATTGCTCTGTTTGCTTTCCACAAAAATCATTTCTCCTTTTTTCCATTCCCGTTCTCCTTTTATTCTTTATTTACCTGTTAAATCAGAAAACGATCTCTTCAATATTTTTTACAAACCCTAAAAAATTTATTTTTGGTATTGCCTATTTTTGTCCAAAAATTTGTTTCGTTGAAACAAAATTTATTTTTAAATAAACAGGTTTTCCTAAAAATAAATAAAGGTATTCCCTAAAAATAAACAGATATCAGTAATAATTTTGGGTCTATAAAATAGAAAATTTCCCCCGTATTAATGTTTATTCTATTTACTTTAATATTTCTTAAATTATAATGCTAGCTTACAAATATGGTTGCCGCTTCCGAGCCGGGCTGACGTTCGGGCCATTTTGTCGGGCTTGTTTTTATCGAGTCGGGCATTTACGAGTCACTTTCAGGCCTAATTTATCGAGTCGTGACGTACGAGTCTTTTAAGGGATAGGCTATAGGTCCGTCTCAATCTTTCTGTCCGTTGGGTCCATTTTTGGCAACCCTACTTACAAGTAAACCTAATTTTTAGTTTACGGCATTATAATCGACCCTCATTTGAAATACATTCATTGTTAAATACAACTCAGTTGATTTTCATTTTATTTGAACAATCAGTAATTATCAATCAGTTATTAAAGAAGAAATAATCAGTAAATGAATTCTCCCATTTTAATAATAATTCGTCATTTTTTGGCCCTACTGCTTTTGCGGTCCGTCTTCCGCTAGTAATCTTGTTCCTATTCTTCAGCTTCCGTTTTTAAATTGCAGTAGGGCACATCTTGATTATACTCTATTAAATCTTATCGCTCTTGAAAAACGCTTGCTACTACCTTATTTTGTGTTATTACAAGATTGTTTTTAATGTTTAATTAAAGAATTTTTCAATATTTTCATTTTAATTATAATTTTATTTTTCCTTAATATATCATTTATTCTTTCTACATATCATCATTTTTAAAATCATTTTTAAAATTTATTTCTAATCATTTTCTAATCATCTTTCCTATCTTCCTAATTTTTCTTTCTTTTGCTGTCCTTCAATATTCGCTTCTTAATCGAATTTATTAATTGACTGATAATTCTATTAAGCTATAGGGAAGGAGAGAAGGGGGAGAAGTAATAAAAAAACAAATAAAAAAATAAAAATTCCTTTCTTTACTCTGTCGGAAATATTTTTAATTAATATTAATTAATTAATCATTCGATTGCTTATCTTTCTTCTAATAATTATTATTTTTTTGGTTACCAATTTTGATTAGCAGTTTTTCGCTAAAGACGAAAGTATAAATACGTAAGCATTTGCGATGGTTGAATAAAAGAGAAGGGAAGAAAGGGGAATGAAATTAATTAATAAAAATTAAAGAAAATTTTTTTTGTTAAATTGAGAGTGTTCTTTATAAACCAAAATTAAATTAGGAACAAAAAAAGGGCAGTCTTACTTTGAAAAACGCAAAGTGCGCACAAAGACGGAATGCCAGGTACCAAAAAATGGCAGAAAAATAATAATTAAAATAATCTGTATTGGGTTGAGGCTCACCATAAACGCTCAATAAAGTCTAGTGGTGTATAATTGCCTGATTTGACGTCCCATTTCACGTGAATTCCCTGCCCGTAAAATTAGGTCTGGAGGAACCTCGAATTTGAACTTTGACCGATTTTTAATGTAAAATCAAATAATTTCGTATTTTAAGTATTATCTTCCAATTTTATTTAAGCATACTCTTATCTCTATAATTGTTACAGTAAGTAAACTGCCTATAGATTACCCTTGACCCTGAGATTTGATTCTTTTTCGAATCGGGCATCGAATTTTGCCCTTAAAAGACTCTAACGTCGGCCCGAAAAAGACTCGTACGTAGGCCCGGTTCAAAAACGGTAACCCTAATAACAACCTTTGGGACATGATCAATTTTTTATTTAATTTTTTTTCTTTTTTTGATCATCTGTATTTGTTGATAAATTGGGGTTTGCTCAAAATTGATGTCTACGTTCTAGGTAATAAAATAAAAAATACTAAAAAAGGGTATATAGTTACATATCAGCAATTAATTAATAATAAATTTAGGCAATCAATTAATTTTATATTAAAATAGGGGAATTTATTATCTTCTATTTTTCAAAGACTTTTCATTTTAACAGGTAAAATTTAATGATAAATTATAACCATATGGTACATTGGACTCGCATTACACTGATCTAGGGTTGCCACCCGTCCTTTTTAATGCTGTTAATCGAGGACGGAAAGGCCAGTTTCCTCGTATTTTTCTCCTTCCTCACCTACTTGGATTCCCCGATTAACCGAATTTTGCCTTCACGTCCCCTATCAGGTAACCTAGCAGTTGTTACTTGCGTTGTTAACTAGCAGGTAACAAGCCTACAATAAACTGCTACAACTGCTGTACCCAGAGTCCAATAAACTTATGTTTATAATTTAATCACTAAATATCATTTATCATAAAAAGCGAGATATCCCAATTCTGAATGAACACACAATTCCTGACACGTCTCATTCTTTATAACCTACTATTCCCTTAAATTAAATAGAAACATATTTCGTAATAAAAATAAAAATTTTGAAACGTAAACACCGCATCCAACTTCCATCTTTCCCTAAAGAAAATCTGTTTTATTTCTTATTTTAATCAAAAAATAATTTTTATCAAACACAGATACATTTAAAAATTAAATTTATTAAAAAATTAAAAAATAAAAATGCTAACATCCACATTACGCCAAATTATTTTATCTAAATCCATCCGCCACTCTATAACAGCATTAAATCCTTTAATACTAACAACTTCTGCAGCCCGTTCCTATGGCTGTATGGTACACGCTGATACCGTCCCTATTGTTTTAACTGATGGGAATGCAGCAGATTTGTTGAGTACTGCTACACCTGCCGTAAGTTTAGGAGATTATGACTATCTCAGGACAATTTCATAGTTCGTATGGGACATGTTCCTTCCAGCTTACCCCTAGTCCGTATGGAACATACTAAAAAACTGCTAGTAGTCAGTACGGCACAAGTTATTTTTAGCTTATATTCTAGTCTGTAGGGGGACTTGTTCCTTACAGCTTACTCATAGTCCGTATGGAGCATATTTTCATTTTACTACTAGTCTTTACGGCACAACTCATTTTTAGCTTATATTCTAGCCTGTAGGTGACATGTTCCTTCCAGCCTACTCCTAGTCCGTATGGGACATATTTTCACCCTAATACTAGTATTTACGGCACAAGTTATTTTAAGCTCATATTCTAGTCTGTAGGGGATATGTTCCTTCCAGCCTACTCCTAGTTCGTATGGAACATATTCTTTTCAGTCCACGTCTACTCCTTACTTGCTAACCTAGTCCGTATGGAGCAAGTTCTTCCAGTCTATTTGCTAGACCGTATGAAACAAATTCTCTCCATTTACCATATGCTAGTACAAAGGGGCACCTAATGCGATCGAAAATTCTGTTAATCCCAAAAATAACTTATCACATAAATTATTTAATCAGACAAAGAACCGATAATGGTTCGCGTTGAAATTTAAGTTTTTACAGGTTGGCCTGACCTATGGTCCAGATGGTCATGTAGAATCCCCAGTCAGTCAATCAGTTGTTGCTAGAAGTGGAAATAAATCTGCCTTCAACCACCGTGAAGAATTGAAAAATGCCCAAAGAATTGTTGTAAAAATGGGAAGTGCTGTAATTACTAGAGATGATGAATGTGGGTTGGCTTTGGGAAGATTGGCAAGTATTGTTGAACAGGTATTGGAATTTTCCGAAGGAGGGAGATTATTCTAATTAAAGGTCTCTGAACTTCAACAAAGTGGCCGTCAAATGCTTATTGTCTCCTCTGGAGCTGTTGCTTTCGGAAGACAAAAACTGCGCCAAGAATTGGTTTTTAAAGCCTATAGTCCCTAAAAAAACAGAAATTTTGTAAGGTTATGTCAATGTCCATGAGACAAACACTTCGAGGCCCAGCTGGAATGCAGACAGACAAAAGAGCATGCGCAGCTAGCGGGATGCCTGGACTGATGAGTTTGTATGAACAATTATTTCAACAATATGGAATTACTGTAGCGCAGGTAGAAAAGGAGGAAAATATTTTTAACTAAAAATTGCTCGGACCGGAAATAAACATAAGTTTATAGAGTAAAAAGCCTTTATAGGGTGAAGGGAACATATCCTCCATAAGGTGGAGGGACATCTCATTTTTAGGTTGAACTTACTTTATAGGGCTAAGGGAACAAGAGGGGTTGAAGGAAACACAGCTATAGAGTGAAAGGAACACAGTCTTATAGAGTTAATGGAACATAAAATTGTAGAACGAAGGCAACATAGAGTGATTGAAGTCCAACTTTATCAAAAAATGTTTAATAAATTTTAAAATATTTAGGTGTTGCTAACAAAGCCAGATATAGACGACCCTCAACGCAGACGTAACCTACAGGCAACGATTGAAAGCCTACTCCGTCTCAATATAATTCCAATAGTTAATGCAAATGATGCTGTAGCACCTGATCCTAAGCTTAATATGGTAATTTAATCAGATATTTTGACTGATTTTTCAAAATATGGGTGGCATCTCAAAATTACTTATTTAAGCCGTCAAGGGCTGAATTAACCGGCCGTTATGGCTATAATTGGAAGATAGTATAGTACTCAAGAACAAGGATCCCCAAGGGTCTTTATTAACCCCAGTGTCTTCTAAGATGTCCTGATCAGAACGTTAACATATCTGAAATTGAAATTAGGGCCGAATATTTATTCACAGGTGGCCGGATAACACTTTAATTGTAATAAAAGTTTCAAGAGGTAACCTACCCTATATTCTTCTCCTAAACTTATTAAAAACTAAACATAAAACAGAGATTGTATAAATAAATTTACAAAATTTATAATTAAGCACATAAGCGACAACGATTCTTTAGCTAGCCGTCTTGCTGGCGAAATCAGTGCTGACCTCTTAATTATTCTAAGCAACGTTAATGGTGTCTATAGCGGCCCACCAGAACAAGAAGGCTCTCGTCTTCTCAACTTTTATTGCCCAACAGAGTCTAGCTCGGTAACCTTTGGTTCAAATTCAAAATATGGAACTGGAGGAATGGAGGCCAAAGGTCAGGATTCGCGCAGAGGTTAAAGCTCACAATCAGACGCACGTGCACTTTTAAGATTTTAATTAAATAATGCACGGGCGCACTGCACGACGAGAGCAAAAAGACACTCGCCAAACACTCGCTTTAATTCAGAAAAAAATTTTTTTGAGAAAATTTTGTTGATTTTAAAGCAAAAAATAATGAATTAAAATTCGAAAATTCTCAATAAAATTCTTAATAAAAAATTTATTAGTGCAAGCATGTGTAAAAGCATTGGAACATGGTGTTGCTACAGTTATCACTAATGGATTACTAAACAATGCTATAACTTCTGTAGTTTATGGAAAGAAAGTTGGAACGATGTTTTGTAGTGATTCGTTACAGGAAGGCACTCCTGTTGAACAAATTGCTGCTAAAGGTGAAAATTTTGAGAAATTCGAAGATCCTCAAGCCTAAAAACTTCCTTTTTGCGCCACAGATAGGGGCATAAAAATATTCGGTTTTAACCGAGTTAGCCGAGTATTATGTGGCCGAGTACGAGTAATCCGAGTATTAGGATTCCGAGTTCCGAGCCCGAGTAAATGCGAAAAAAACCCGAGCGATCGAGTCGAGTATACCCAAACTCTCTCGACTCGGACGTATTCAAATAGAAATGCTGGAATTAATTTACAAATTGTAATTAGAATATTCAATAAGACAAGATGATATTTTACAATTTTTCCAGTTTTAATTACAATTTGCGATTTTTACAATTATACTACAATTTATATTTCTACAAATTGTAATTACAGTTAGTAATCATAAAAAATTGTAATTAAATAGCTTATACATTAATACAATCCTTAAATTTTACAATTGCAATTTTAACAAATAATTTGCAGCGAAAGAGAGTGGCCGTCTACTTGCTAACATTTCCAACGAGGACCGTGCAAAAATGGTTCGACACATGGCCGATTTACTTTTAGCACGTGAAGGGGACATCATAGAAGCTAATAGGGCAGATCTCCACAACGCTACAGCTGAAGAGTTGGAACCAGCACTTTTGGATAGATTGAAAATAACAAAAGGAAAATTAATGGATTTACATGCAGGATTGAACCAAATAGCAGATTCTGCACGTTTTTTAATTGGGAGGGTTTTGAGAAGAACTAAGCTGGCAGAACAGCTATATTTGGTCTGATTTAATTATTTTATTAAGGTAATTAAATTTACAATTGTAAATTTAATTAGGTTAGGATTAGAAAAGAAATATTTTCCGGAACACTTTTCCGGAAGAAATAATATAATTACAATTGCTTTTAATGTTTATTTTTTACAAATTCTAAAAATAAATTAAAATAAAATTAAAATTTTTTACAATTTGTAGTTTTCCGGAACAGTCTTCCGGAAGAAAAATATTTAAATATAGGTAATTACAATTGTGATTTAAGTTTATTTTATTTTTTACAAATTGTAGAAATAAAGTTTAAATGAAATTAGAATTTTTTACAATTTGTAGTCTTCCGGAAAAGTTTTCCGGAAAAAATAATAGTTAATTATTGTTACAATTGTAGTTAAAGTTTATTTTATTTTTACAAATTGTAAAAATAAATAATACAATTACAAATTGTAAAAACAAAATAAATTCTTTCTGGAAAATGTTGATAAAAGTTTTTTTAATAATTCTAATTTTACAAATTGTAATTAAAACATTTTACAATTTGTATTTTTTTACACTTTATTTAAGGCTTGAAAAGGCTTATTTTTAGCAAATTTAATAAGTGAGAATAGTAATTACAATTTAATTAAATTTATAAAATCTAAAAAATTCAGGAGCAAACAACGGTCCCTATCGGCTCACTCCTTGTCATCTTCGAATCAAGACCAGATTGTCTCCCACAAGTTGCCGGTCTTTCAATGGCTTCAGGAAATTCTTTATTGCTTAAAGGTGGTCGTGAAGCTGAAGAAACAAATAAATTGTTACATTCCTTGGTACAAGAAGCTTTGGGAACGCAGGGTTATGAATTGAGGGATGCCGTTACTTTGGTTAGATCAAGAGAAGATGTTGCTGAACTTTTGCAGCTTAGAGGTGTTTTATTATTACTTAATATTATAAGAAATAAAAGATGTAACAGTTGCATGGGATGGGGGTCATTACAAGTGGAGATGGGTTGTCATAGCCTGTTATCACATTTGGGGAATAGCTAGACTAGTAGGACAATGACAAGATCTAGGAAATAGATCTGGCTATCGCGATTGAAATTTCTCTACACGTACTCGAACTCAGTTTTTCCCCAATTACTCAGAACTCGACTCACTCTAGCTAAAACACTGATATTAATTTTATTACGAATTTTAATTTTCCAGAATTAATCGACTTGGTAATTCCTCGAGGTTCATCAGACCTAGTCAGAAAAATGCAAGAATTGAGCAAAGGAATCCCCGTTCTTGGGCATGCTGAGGGTATTTGCCATGTTTTTGTTGACAGAAATTGTGATGAAAAGATGGCTTTGGATATTGTTAGGGATTCTAAATGTGATTATCCTGCTGCCTGTAATGCTGTAGAAACTATTTTGGTCCATAGAGATCATATTAACACTCCCTTCTTTGACAGTGTTTGTTTTTTAAATATCAAAATGAAATCTAGAAATATACATAATTGTTGGTTCTTGTAGAATCTCGGATATTCGGAATCGGATTGAAGAGCCGAACTTTCCGCCAACCCAAGTTCTTGAATAAGACCCTAGGGAGGGTTAGTGGCTGCCACGGATGGGTCTGCTTTCAAGCTATCACTCGAAACCTCTTTTTAATAATTTTGAAAATTCAAACTAGAACATTACCCGGCATTTTCTCAAGCCGACCCATCCATGATGAATTCCTTTGACTCCATATAAGAATTAACGATAAAGTAGAAGAGGATAGTTTGCAGAATAATACAATCACAATTGTAATCAAACTTTAATTATTTTTAGCTTTGTGGAATGCTCAAGTCAGAAGGTGTTAAACTCCATGCTGGACCCAAACTCCAATCTTTACTTAAATTTGGACCTCCAGCAGCTGAGTCGCTTAAATTTGAATATGGACGGTTAGAATGCACGCTTGAAGTTGTGGATAATGTGGAGGAGGCTGTTTCTCATATTATTCGTGAGTTTGTTATTAACTTGGACATATTGTGTGTTTTGCATTGTGGGACGGATTGGGGTGGGACGAATCATAACCGAGTTTCTCTCATTTAAATTCAAGGCCGGTTCGGTGCAGTAAATTTAAGTGTTTTTAAATTACTGTAATTAACGGCAAATTTGGTGCCAAATCTTAGAGCGCATATAAATATTTTTTTATTTTTAAAGGATATGGAAGTGGACATACAGATTCGATTGTGACAAACGATGGTACTAATTTTTGTGGCAATATTAAAATAAAAATTTTAATTTAAGACAAAGCAGCAGGCTATTTCCTAACCCAAGTAGACAGCGCTTGCGTCTTTCACAATTCAAGCACACGCTTTGCTGATGGATATCGGTTTGGGTTGGGTGCTGAGGTAAATATTTGATCATTAAATTGTGAAGTGAATCCAGTTTGGTTTAAGATTTATTTGTTGGGGTTCTCTGGTATTTAACTAGAGATCAGACCAATTGAGTACCCAATCAAGGGTTTCTTAATCTTGAGTTTCTTTATAAGCTAAACTCGATGGCTTTCTGCTGTTCCTAGTTTAGGCTAGAGCTCGATTCGGGACCAGAGATCGGACTGGAGAGACTAGAGATCGATCCGGGACCAGAGATTGAACTTGAGATCGGACCCAAAGATCAGATCTTTCCTTCGTTTTAATAATTTCCATTGTAATATATTTATCCATGAATATATTAATCTCATTCAAGACATTAAATGCCTATTGGCAATTAATTGTTTCTTCCCCAAAAAAATATTCTAATCTATCACAGGTCGGCATCAGCACCGGACGTATTCACGCCCGAGGGCCTGTAGGTGTAGAAGGCTTATTAACCACAAAATGGATATTGAGAGGCCATGGACATTGTGTCCAACAATTTAAAGAAGGAGGGCCTTTCCAATTTGTTCACGAACCTATGGAGATAATTGACACGAAAATACCAATATTCGGAACAGACAAAGAACAACAACAAACAATATTTGGAGGATTTCCCCCAAAGACTGAAAACATTGTTGAGGACGATATTGAATTCCCAAAGAAGGAAACAGCTATTTTTGGATGATTTTTAATTATATTTAAATTAAGTATATATTTTGCACATACAGTAGAAGCTCTAAGTTATCCCAGACTCTTAGTTATCCCGATCTTACAAATAATCAAAGTTGCTAGTTATCTCACTCAGCAACTTGGAGATCTCTTACTTAGATATCTTGAGACTAGGGTTGACCCCAAACGCTTGCAGGCGGGTATTTCGGGGTACGGGGTTTTCGAATTGTTTCGGACTTTTTTTTCGGGCGGGGTTCGTGTCGGGGACATTCGTGAAAAAATTGTTCGGGAACGGGGTCGGGGTACGGGTTCAAACTCTACTTGAGTCAGAAGTATCCTGGAGATTTATTTCACAATTTCAAACCGGATTTTTCACAAATATGTAGCAATCTATGAATCACCGATAAGATAGAGGTTCTATTGTATACTCTACAAATTTTCTGCACATTTATGCGCACCTCAAAATAAAAAATAAAAATACTATATATCTATGTATATTCCAAATTATTTATATAAATTTTTATTTAAAACTTTTATTTTCAAAGTTAGGGTAAAACAGAAGTTAGCAAGGTAGTTGCTCTTTGTTTAACGGCAATTTTTGATAAGCTGACAAAAAATCCCAAAAAACTCCAGAAACCATAAAATTATTTATTGACTATTTTTTGCAAAAATGGTCAATTTCAAATTGTTCTTTAATCTTTAGAATAAGCAAACAAACAATTTATATAAAATAAAAAAATTGGGTTATAAACATATAAACTAAAATATACTGATAACACAAATTAATTGAGGAAAAACCTAAAAATACAAGTAAAGGCTTCATTTATTATTTTTTGTCCTTTTTGCTTTATTTCCAACTAAACACAAAAATAATCAAAAAAATTTCAAAAATAAAATGCTGACTTTGCAATATTTAAGGTGCAAGCGTTGTGGGCGTCCTTGCAATGGTAAAAGCTAATAAAATGGTCAAAAGTTTAACTATAATTCTGAAATTTTGCAGAAACATAGCTAAATGTATAATCTGAATGTTCTGAAAATTTCATAATTTATAGGCCATTTCAGTCAATTTTATAGTCAGAGAACTAACGTTACCACTATAAGCATGTTTATATAGATTTGGATATAGGAATTTAATAGAAGCCGAAGAGACTAATTAATAGAGGTGGGTAAGAATTCTGATTTCCGAAAAAAATTTTGGTTTCCGAGTTCCGAGTTACGACTTTTGCCCCAGTTCCGATTTTATGCTCTTACGATTTCCGACACCTCTGATCAGACTAGGACACGGATACGGATTTTGTTTTCCGTATCCGAATATTTACGGCGGATACAGGCGGATATCCGCAAGCATTTTGGTATTATCTGTATCCATATCCGTATCCATGTCCATGTCTGTTTCTGACTGTTCCGACCCACCTCCGCTAATAACCAATTATAGCTTGATCAATTCATTTTTTGCACTAACCAATTAATTGTTCTTATTTAAACAATTAAAGTTTTATGACCATTACGAGTTTACCCTTTCAATACTCAATTTCCAAATTCATTTACCCATCACATGCAAAAATTGATATTAACCTACACACATTCCACACCGTTTTGAAGACGTTTTAGCTTTAAAAATAATCAGTTAACTGTCATAAAAACAAAAAATAAAAAAAATTTTTAGAAAAAAATTCTTTCTAATGCCAATCTTGTGTGCAATTTTTATCAATTTTACAGTAAAATAAATTTATTTGGAAGCTCTTTCAATTAGCACGAGGAGAGTAATGATGCTTTTAATTACCTAAATAATCTTGCCTTTATTTGTCATTCAATTTAATTTTTACAAAAATTAATAAAAAAAATTTTTTATGATCGGAATATTCCAGAAATTTAATTATTTTATACAATTTTCCTCCCATTTTTTGTTTGCTTTGAGTCATTCAACCACGCGGAAACCGTTAGAAGGGGGTTCAAACAAATTCGCATAACTTTGCCCATTGTCCTCCTATGACGCTTATTTTGGTGTCATTCGACTCGGCTTGAAGAGCTCTTTCATTATAGCTATAATTTGCATACGCTTTTTTTATTTTTCCAAAAATATCTGGTTAGAAACTCTGCGTGGGGATTAGAGAGCGTCGTAAACTATTTGACCTGGACTATTTTCCAGGCCAGAACTAATTTTCAAATTTATTAATTGGGCAAGATCCTGGACCTAAAATCTAGGAGAGACTCGGAAATCTTAAATAAATTGTCTAGGTCTATGCTTTGTTTACCGGAAAACCCAGGCCTGGGCTTTACCTAGCTGATATTTAGCGGGGATAAACGATAATACTCTTCCATTAATTAATACCTTAACAAGATTTAAAATAATTTTTAGTTAATTAAACTCTTCTAAACTGCATTTAATTAACGAATTAAAAATTAAAAAAAAATGCGGCCGAGATCCTGGATCTCAAATCCAAGAAAAACTCGGAAATCTTCAAAAAAATGGCAGGGTCTAGCTTTGTTACAGGAATACCCAGGCCTAGGCTTTTACTTCTAGGCTTTTACTTTTACTCTACTGGGGATGAACAGACGATCTCTTCTCTCCTTTAATTAATACTTCAACAAACTTTAAAATAATTTTTAGTTAATTAAACTCTTCTAAACTGCCTTTAAATTATACAACTTAAAAAATTTAATAAAATGCTTGACAGCCTAGAGGGTTGTGTAAATGACTGCCTATTAGTAGAAGGACTAGATACAAAAATTGAAAATCATCAAAATTCTAATCAAAATAATTTGAACAAATTAAAAAGGAAAAGAGAAGAAAAATGTGAAGAAGAAAGGGAGGAAGAAGAATTAATTAAAGAAAATAATTCATTTTTGGCCGATCCATTTCTCGCACTTCAAAATGACCTTGACGACGTAAGCGGTTAGTTAGGTGTTAATTTAATTATTTGGGACATATGAAAATTATTAAACGGGGAAGGGAAATATTTTGTTTCTTTATTAAACTTGGAGAGAGAAAATAACGGAAATTGAATGATCAGAGTTAAAAATGTGTGGCTGTCCAATTCAATATTCCCGCCGAAAAAATATAAATAAATTAACACTCAAAGATGCTTTACTAGATCTAACTATTTGTGATAGGTTCAGCGTCCCCAAATAACAATGATCTTAGGACATCCTCAATCGTGATTCCCGACAGTATATTCCCCTGACTCTTCCCTTCCTAAGAAAAAGTTCCCTCCAACTGATATTACTTTTGCTTTTAATCCTAATGCTAAGATAAAAGACGATTTACACGTAGGACTAAGGGTTCCGTGACTTTTACGCCGAGAACATTTGCGCCGCGACTTATGCGCCGCGACTTTTGCGCCGCGACTTATGCGCCGAGCGACTTTTGCGCCGGGGGACTTTTGCGCCGCGACTTTTGCGCCGGACGACTTTTGCGCCGGGGGACTTTTGCGCCGCGACTTTTGCGCCGGACGACTTTTGCGCCGCCACTATCATTAATAATTATGAAAAACTACAGCAGGACCTCACAATAGAAGATGTAGGATAGTTGGAGATCTTCGTATATCAAGATCCGGAACCGATATCCGACCAAAAATTTTCGGCTATCCGGCCTTTTTCAGACCCGATATCTGGACCCGACAACCCTACACTATAGTGCACCCTCTTCTGACAGAAAATCATGATCCAAAAAAGTCAAGTTCTTTGAAGATGAGCCCTCTAGGGGGTCTGTTTATTTATCAACCTTTCTCTAGGGTGGCGGTTTATTAGAGGGGGCTATTGTACTTCCTGAAATATTGTACTTTCTGAAATTCCTTCAGCTCCTGAATACCATTTTTTAAGGAGTACACTATAATTAGGTCCGACTGTAGATATTATTTTTTAAAATTATGGCGGCGCAAAAGTCGCGGCGCACAAGTCGCGGCGCAAAAATCGCCCGGCGCATAAGTCGCGGCGCAAATGTTCTCGGCGCAAAAGTCGTGATACCGGACTAAGAATGAAATCCAAAAAGGGGCAAAATTGTGCGCGACTTTTTCTCCTTTTTTTATCTGATCAGAAATATAGGTAACTTATGGACTTCCATTTAATAAATCCGACACTTTTACTGCCGGACCTTTATCTCATTTTTTTCTTGAAGAATTGAAGTTCGACTGTATATAACAATTTTTTAATTTAATTTTTTCAGAAGTAATAAAACACAATTTAATATCTGAAGAATTTCTTATTGTCAACAATAACCCAACAAATAATAATCTACAAAATTCTTCTCCAAATATTAATGTAAGACCCAAAAGTTTGGAAAGAGAAGACACTTATATTGAAACTGTTAATTTAACTTCTGATTCAAACAAAGAAAGGTCAATTCATCAAATTGTTAATTTATTACAACAACCAGAAAAAAGAGTAATTTTTACTTTAAATTAATTAAATAATAATGAACTAGGCCAAAAAATAAAAAATAAATTGACGTGTAAGGATCCGGGCTGTCCGCAGTTGCTGATTATGTGCTGGGGATTTCAGCCACGAACTTTTTTTTCATCTGCTGACAGCCATTTCTTAGCAATCACTGACACACTTATCCAACAAATGGTTTTTAGGGATCCTCACTTGATCCCTTACAAAAATACCTCTTATTCTTAAGGATGTTCAGTTAACTCAGATATTATGTTTTTATTTAAATATTTTATTATTTGAACTTTAACATATTAAGTAAATTTATTAAATAAAAGTAATGTGTCTATACACTAGAACCAAATCTTAAGGATATTCGAAACTTTCAAATATCCGGACTTAAAAGGATCGAAACATTCGAACACATACCCCCTCTCTAATTTACCCCCTCTCTAATAATAAATTTATTTTTAAGCAACATCCACAATTGCTTCGCCAAACAGTCTCTTTCGACGACCACCTAGGATTTCTTTCTCCATTCTCTTCAGACTCAAGAAATACATTATATGATAAAAATTTAATAGGATTTGATCAATTTGACGATCCAATGATTGGAGGAAATAATTATGGAGAAGAAGAATATGGAAATAATTTAAATTTATGCCCTCCTTTAATGACAACAGAAAATGCTCCTTTACATTTTCCCCAACAAACAAATGAATTAATTAAAAATGTAAATTCTGAAGCTGAAAAACAGGTGGAAAATAATTTAAATTTATTTAGCTCCAACTGAGGCTGTCAAATTAACTAAAAAACAGAATTAACAAAAATACGATTAAGAAAAAATCACGCCATTTGGCCTGGGCAGACAATTAAACGGAAAAATTTAATTTTTTGTTTAAACGTTATGAAGACAAAACACATACATAGATCAAAATTTTGATTCCGGTAAAACAATAATTAATAGGGATCTGCGAACAATCCTCGTTCCAAAAATTAAATTTTATTATAATATGGATAGTCTATTATGCCAAACATTTATTTTTATAATTTCTAATTTGAATTTATTCATATTAAGTAAAATTATAAATATTTTTTGTGTTGAAGTATTTTCATAAAGAATTATTTCAGACAGGATGTATTCAAGAACACGAAGGCATCACCATCATGGATCACCCTGAACAAAAAGAATTTCAAGAAAAAACTTTTTGGCAATTAAGTACTAATAAGCACTTAACTAGTGTAAATGACTCCCCACCACCACTCCCTCCAATTTCCTCAAAATTACCCAACAAAAATAATTATTTATTAAGTTATGAAGAAAGGACCGTCAAGCAGGAATTATCAGCTTCTAATACGGATGAAATACAAAATTATAATAATACTGGGGAAGCTGCTATATTAGCTAAACAAGAGTTCCTTCAATTATTGCTGCAAATAACGCCAGAAGAGGTGTATTTAATTGTCAGAATTTTAATTAATAAATATGGGAAATTCTGAAAAAAATAATTAAATTACAAGTAAAAATACAAAAGAATCAGAATTATTTAAAATATTCAGAATTAGCAGAAATACAAATATCAGAATTTAAAAAATACATAAACCAGAATTATTTATAAAATCAGAATTATTAGGAAATACAAAAATCAGAATTATTTTTTAAAAATCAGAATTATTAAAAAATACAAAAATACAAAAAATCGGAATTAGAAAACACAAAACTCAGAATTCTCGAAAATAGAAAATCAGAATTATTTAAAAATACAAAATCAGAATTATTTTAAAAATACAATCAGAATTAACACCCCTAAAAATTACACTATATACAAAAATACAATAACCTTAAAATTAATTCAGCTTGAGCATTTGAGAGCCAGAAAAGCCCTTCAAGCTCAATCTATTCAACAACCTCTTAACCACCAACAATTTAATTACAACAATACAACCACTATTCAGTCCTCCCAACCTATATTCATCCAAACAGGACAACAACCCCAACAACTTCAATACAATCAAAATCCTTCCATTTATACTCAACAGCAACAAAGCAGTCCCCCTTTGGATCCACTCCCTCCCCTAGTACCCTATCAAATCGATTATGGTATTACTCAATCCATTAATACGATTAATAATCCGATGGGGCATTATGGAGTTCAACAGGTATGTGAAATCAGAATGAAATTAAATCAGAATTATTTACAAAAATATAACCAGAAGAATGAAAATTAGAAATCAGAATAAAAAATCAAAATTTAAAATCAGAATTTTCAAAAATACAAAAATCAGAACTTTCAAAATCAGAATTTTCAAAAATACAAAAAGCAGCATTTGCAAGATCAGAATTTTCAAAAATACAAAAATCAGAATTTTCAAAATCAGAATTTACGAAAACACAAAAATCAGAATTTTCAAAATCAGAATTTTCAAAAATACAAAAATCAGAATTTTCAAAATCAGAATTTTCAAAAATACAAAAATCAGAATTTTCAAAATCAGAATTTTCAAAAATACAAAAATCAGAATTTTCAAAATCAAAATTTCAGAAATTAATTAAAATCAGAATTAACCGAGCCAAATTACTTTACCTCACAGATAACACAACAGCAACACCAACAAATGGCACAGCCCTCATATTTTTACTCATCCCCTTCTAGTGGTTGTTCTGCCGGCACTTTACTATCCCCATTAAGCAATGGAGGAGTGTGTGGTTACCCTAGTGTTGCTACTTCTGATTTTTTGGAAGAATCAGATTCCCAAATAGATCAAGATTATTGGGGTGAAGGGGAAATGGCTGAAGGCGCTGAAATAAATTCGACAACTTATAAGAATGACCATCTGGTTAGGGGCGGTGAAGAGGGTAATACTGGTCATCGTGAACGTCAAGGCAGGAGGAAATGTTTGTTTGAAATCATTTAAAAATTAAAAATCACAAAAGAAAATCAGAATAAAAAATCAGAATTTAACAATAGAATTCAAAATTCAGAATTAGGAATCAGAATTCAAAAACCAGAATTCAAAACCCAGAATTTAAAAATCATAATTGAAAAATCAGAATTCAAACATCAGAATTCAAAAATCAGAATTCAAAACCCATAATTTTAAAATCAGAAATGAAAATCAGAATAAAAAATCAGAATTAAGAATCAAAATTTAAATATAATTTAAAGATCAGAATCAAAAACCAGAATTTAAAACCAGAATTTAAAAATCAGAATAAAAATTCAAATTTCAAAATCAGAATTTTGAAAATCAGAATAAAAATATCAGAAATAAAAATCAGAATTAACAAATAAACCAGAATCAGAATAAAACATTAAATCCCCCATTTAAGCCCACAAAACAGAGAGACGTACAGCACACAATTTAATCGAAAAGAAATATAGGTGTTCTATAAATGATAGAATTAATCAACTAAAAGAAATGTTGGCAACTGAGGACAATACAAAAGTTCGAGAAACTTTAAAAATTTCAAAATAATTTTTTTCTTGAAGCTAAGCAAGTCAGCCACCCTCCGAAGAGCTGTAGAAAATATTCATTCATTGCGTGCTAAAAATGCAGAGTTGGCAGGAGAAAATGGGAGATTGAGACGGGCGTTGGAAATGGCTGGGTTGAGAGATACTGGGAAAATGGGAGGAATAAATAAAGCTTCAACAATGATTGTTGGGCAACATACGGAACAACCAGAAATATTATTGAAGGGGGCTAATATGGTAGAATAATTTTTAAAAAAATTTTTAAAAAATTACAGAAATAGAGTAATAAGTGTAGCATAAGTTTGACCTCAGGAATAAATCCAGGAACTTTCTGGGGGTTTTAAATAATAGACCAGAATTTTCGATCAGATCTAAGAAAATTTTTGGAGTCATAAAAATATTTAGAGACATACATACAACAGTGCCATAATAGTAAACCCTCTACTTAATATATTTTATCAAAATAATGAATTATTTAGGGATAGTGGGATATCTATTATTATCGATAAAGCTTTCAAAAATAAATAAATTTTTGGGTCGGGGATTTTAACAAATCCCTACATTAAAAACCGGATTTTCGCACCGAGCGGTTTCCTGTACTGAAATACCGAAAAATACCGATGAAATTCAGAATTTTACCGTACCGTATTACCATACGGAATACCGATAAATACCGCAAAATACTGTCGTAGTATGGTACCGTCCGGTCTCTACCCTAAATATTATGGTGTTTACCTATATTTTAAAATATCGCAAGTCGACCCACCATAGTGTAACAAAGTTTGATAACAAAGTTTAAAATTTGTTAGAGATTCCTTTAAGGTTTCATCTTATTGTTAGCGAAACATATCTTTTATTAACAGCCTACTATGGTAGAAAAATTTTGTAACCATTTAAAAAATTACAAAATTAGGGGAAAAAGTTTAGTAAAAGTTTAACTCTGTAATCGACCCTGCGCCTTTCTGGGGGTTTTTAAAGGAACTGACATGGGAACTGACATTTTTACACATATATGATCTCGAAAGAATTTCCGATCACTCTAAGAAGGGATACATCAAAAATGATGGGGTTCGAATAAATATAAATTTCGAAAAATTTTATACATATATTTGTAAACCCTTTTTACTTAATATATTTTATTTAAAGTAATGAATTATTTAGGATAGTAGAATAATTCTAATTCTATTGGTGTTAAACTTCCAAAAAATTAAGAAATTTTTGGGTCGGGGATTATCACAAATCCCTACAAATTACTGTTTTGATTCCACATTCATAAAATCTCGAGTCGGCAGAAACGCTGCACGTAAGAGCCCAACAGCAAAGTTTAAAATTGTTAACATAAAAGGATATAGTATAGTATACCGGAGGCAAAATTTCGATATGAAACACATACCATTCGATTCGTCTCGGCGAGCTGAGTCGAACGGTATCACTCTATATTCACTGAAACGCCTGTGGACCGAGATATAGGTCCCTGAATATCGAAAAACCAAAGGGGGGGGGAGTAAGCACATTTTTGGGGTGAAAAATTCAAATATGCAAATAATAGCTCATTTGAAAGAACTCTTTGAGCTGAGTCGAATGACACCAAATTCAACGAAATCCGACTTGATTGGACCGAGATATAGGCCCTTAAAAACCGAAGAACCAAAGGGGCGATTTTTGGAATAAAAAATTTTTTATACAAATAATAGCTCATTCGAAAGAGCTCGACGAGCTGAGTCGAATGACATGAAAATCACCGTGATTGATCAAGATTGGACAAAGTTAGGACACAAAAAACAAATAACATGAACTTATGGAGCGTCAGCAAGGCGCTTGTGCAAAACCCCGCGCTTCGCGCGGGGTTTTGCGGCACGCGCCTCGCGGGGAGTCTACGGGCGATGGGTTCTGGGCTCGTAACTTAATCCTATTTTAATTATCGCTGTAATGGGTTATCTGGCTTCCTCCGTAGCAGGAAAAACCTCGACGGATACCAAAGGTAAGGAACTAAAACAAACGATCATAACTTTGTCAAGTCAAGTCAGATTTCGTTGATTTTGGTGTCATTCGACTCAGCTCGAAGAGCTCTTTCGAATGTTGTATCATTTTCATTTTCGAATTTTTGACCCTAAAAATCAGCTTGGTCCCCCCTATGGTTTTTCGATTTTCAGGGACCTATATCTTGGTCCACAGGCGTTTCAGTGAATATAGAGTGGTACCACTCGACTCAGCTCGCCGAGACGAATCGAAAGGTATGTGTTTCATATCGAAATTTTGCCTCCGGTATACTATACTATAGCCACATAAAATTAGGGATTGTTCATTTCATTTTAGCGGAAATGTAGCTTTTATTACCAGCGTTTGATGCCGCTTCTTGCAATTTTTATTGGTTGAAGATTTTTAACCCTTGCTTAATTTGCGTAAATTATTATAATTTTACAAAAATTAAATAAATTTAACAAAAAAGACCCTGGGGGTCAAAAACCGATCACAACCTAAAACTAAGATTTGGTTAACAACCTATTATGAAAAACCTGAGTTTAACTAAACTAATTGTAAGAGGATCGCTAGCAAATCCTCGTCCCAAAAATTACCTAAATTAAAACGTTCTTATCGATAAAATCTATTTAAAATTAAATAAAATTTAAATTCATTTATTTAATATTGTGTAGAATAAAAAATAAAAATTAATTTTTAACAGCAAAGAAGCCGCATTTCTTCCTCAATAAAAAAATGTAACAACAATAACACTTCAATTTCTTCAACAACTGACTCATCAGTTGTTGGCCCCCGAGATCAATCACGTGTCACACTTTGTGTGTTTATGTTCCTTTTATTAATTTATAATCCCCTGGCTTTTCTCTTCACCGAAAACTCAACAAATTCTTCAAATTTTGGAGGAGATTTACAGGAAAACACGGCCATTTTTGGAAGGCATCGAACTTTGACGGGGGATGATTTTTTCGTTAAAGACAATACAAATAAAATCCCCTTCACTTCTCAATCCTATGTTTCTGTTAATTCTTTTGAGCATTGGCCTAATTCTTCTTTATTGAGGCATTCACTTATCTGGCTGTTAAATTGTTTGTTTGTTTTTGCGATACTGAATCGGTTATTGGTGTCAGGGGAACCGGTAAGTGAATAAGAAAAAATACGAGAAATTAAATTGGAAAATACAAAAAAATAAAGAAAACACAAAAAATACAAAAATGCAAAAACACAAAAATACACGAAACAAAACTAAGAAAATACAAAAAATACATGAAACACAAATTTAAATTGGAAAATACAAAAATACAGAAAAATACAAAATTAAGAAAATACATAAAATACAGAAAAATACAAAAAACACAAAATACAAAAAATACAAAACACAAAAATAGCAAAATACAAAAGTACAAAAAATACAAAAATAAAGAAAAAACACAAAATATATAAAAACACATAAAAACACAAAAAAATACAGAAAATAAAAAAAAATACACAAAAAAATACAGAAAAAATTTATTTTTTCCCAAGGTTGCCGATCGTCGATCTCCTCGCTGGGGAACTTTTATCCAAAGTCGTCTGAAAGCACAACAAGCTGTAGCGGCGGGTAATTGGAAAGAGGCACAACGTTGTTTGGGAGAATCATTACAGGTAATTAATCAGATTTTCTATCAGATACAAGTTAGTAAGAAATTTCCTGTATAGATTTTGGAACGACCATTACCCTCATCTGGCGGTCTAGACGAGTGGATGTCTCTCATTTGGCAGGTAACTATTTAATTTTTCCTTCCAGAATTTTTTCACAGATTATTCGTCATTTACTAAACGTTCTCTGGATTGGCCGTTGGTTTGCCCGTCGTCGTCGTTCCAGCCTTCAGTCACAAAAATCGGTTTGTCGAAGTCATGCAGCAACCTCAATGGTTTACAATCAGCTACATCAATTGCATTTATTAGGAGTGGATGGAATTGGGTAATTTATTAATTTTTTTATTCAAAAAATTTTTTCCTAGGTTGACACAACGAGGGGCCCTCAACATTGCTTTGTTAGCAGCAAATCTTGCCGAGGTAGAAAATTTTTCCGGAAAAATTTTTTTATTAATTTTTCTTCAGTCAGCCGGATCATCTGCAATATCACACGCACTTAGAGCTGAAATGTATGCATGTGCTGCTATTCGTTGTAGATTATGCTTGCCGCGGTGGTTGCGCTTACCCATAGCAGGCTATTTCTTTAGGAGAGCAAAGTGAGTATTTTAATAAGACAATAAACGGAACATATTCCGGAAAATTTACTCACTTCCGGAATAGAAAATTTACTCGTTTCCGGAATAGAAACTTCAGTTTCATTCTCTTGTGCTTCGAATGGAGGGAGTTCTCGAAAAAATTTTTTTGAGTAGTCAATAATTTGCATAATATAAATTTATAAAGTTTAAATATTACTTAAGCAAAACATTAATTCAAACTTTACTGAATATTGAGAAAAAAGATTTGATGAATTTTTGGGAAGAGGATTTTTATTAAATCCTCGTAATAATCAATTGCTAATTATTTTGTTAAAACCCGGATACTGGTATGGTAAATCCGTTAGCCCGGAATCATTATATTTTGATAAAAACTATGTTCTCAATTCTGGTATGAAAAAGTCTGTTCGGTTAACAACTTGTGTTCGGTATGGCTCCGGTAGCTAGCGGTGGAGCCGGAGCTTCCGGAAACAAGATTGAGATTATTTTATTATTTCCTAGACGACATGTCACCAAAAGCCATCGTCTGGAAGGAAATGCAGAACAAATATATTCTCTTCAATGGGCATTCCACCCTTTAGCGCGGAAATTCCTCGCAGACCCTCTTCGTTTGGCTGCTATATTAGACGGTAGTGGAGCTCAACAACAGACTAATTTTCCGTTTACTGATTCAACACAGTCTGGTAGATTAAATATTTTTATAAACTCATTTGACCACAAACCCCTTCCAGCCAAACCTCTAGAAGTTTTACGTGACGCATTCAAAATTCATTTACTCGATGCTTTGTTAAAACAAATTGACTCATCTGAGGGTCTACGTGTTCCTGATTTTGTAGAGCGTTCACAGCTGTTATTACAAATTTGTATAGCTAATGGAAATGATACGAGTGTGAAGTGCAAGGAGAATGTAGGGGAATCTAGCAGGACTGATAGTGAAGGTATGTAAACCTGGGAGATCATGAGTTACTTAAGGCAGGCCTTTTCCGACTCTAAATCCGGTTCGAGAAAATTTGCAAAGCCTGCCCAAAACCCGACCTTATAGATGTAGACGAGGGAAAGCTTCATGAATAATTAATCAAGAAATTAACCTTTCAGCTCTCTCAGATATTTTATTGTCATCGAATTCCTCAGCAGGTGATGAGCTCTGTACCTGGTGGGCTCATTTATTAAGCAGTGCCCTTCACTGGCGTCATGGGGATATGGCTAGAGCACGGCAACATAACGCTATTGTACGCAAATGTCCTCAGAACCTATTGCAGAGGTAAAATATTTCCGGAATCTGAAAAAATCTAAAAAAATACAGCGATACAGCGTTGGCAGTCGGCTTGGCTTTTTGTTCCAGAAAAATTTGTCTTGAAGATAGAAAACAAAAAGCATGGACAGAAATAGCTCTGTTACACGTAGAGAAGGCTTTTGCTCATTTACAGAGGGAAAATCGGTTCCACAGATGGCAAGTGCCTTTGGAGTGTCAAGGACAGGGAATTGATAAAATACAAGTAGAAATTTTTTAATCATTTGTAAATTGAATAAAAGTTTCAGGAAATTTAAAAATATTTTCGAAAATTTAATACCAGTGTTCATGAGCTCGTACCAAAATTCGTACTCGTACCTTGGTACGATACGAGATTAAAAATAGGCAGGTACGAAGGCGAGTATGAGCAAAATTGAAATTTATGAACGCTGTTTAATACACGTTTCCGGAAATTTAATACATGCTTCAGGAAATTTAATAAAAGTTTCCGTATAAGTACAAATGCATTTTCCCAGAAAATAAATAAATTTTTCCGGAAATTGAAAATGATTCCGGAAAACATTTTTCCGAAATACGCAAGCAATATTAAACTTGATTTTAAAACTCTCTCCTCTTTTAAGTGCCGATTTCGACTTCTTTGTTGCCAATGGATTCTCTCTACTTTACTCGATTTGTGCTCCTTTTCAATAGGACCAGACAAAACGCCTTCACTTCAAATTAAACAATTATACTCGAATGTTATGACGTTTATTGAGAAAAATGGTATTGAACAAATGGAACAAAAGAGGGTAGGAAAAATAAAATACATATTAAGTAAAATATTTTTTAAATTTAAGATGGCAATGTTTAAAAACTTGGGAGAAACTCTTTGCGGAGTAGAAGCAAAACCAGTTTAAAATTATTTAAATAGTTTAAAATATTTAATTAAAACAAGTTCCGGAAAATACAAATTATTATTTTTTTCGGAAATGTACAAGACATCAATATAAGCTTAAGAAAATACATGTTATATTCCGGAACTTTCTGAATATTTTTCCGGAAAAATACAATTATATTTTAAGAAAATGTATTTTTTCCGGAAGAAGTATTTCCTGAATATACTAACTTTCCGGAAATCAAAAAATACTACATTAATGTAATATTCAAGCAAATATATTCTGTATTTTCCGGAATATTTTCCGGACAAATACAAGTATGTATTGTTTAAAAAATATAGTTTTTCCGGAAGTAGTATCTCCTAAATATACATATAACTTTCCGGAAATGAAAAAATACATTACTATAAGTTTCCGGAAAAATACATGCTGTATTTTCCTGAATATTTTGCGGAAAAATACAAGTATTCCTGAAACCTTTTAAATAATGGTTTCATTATTTCCGGAATTTATTATTCAATAAATATATTTTTCCGCAAAACTATTTCCTGAAATATCCATATTTATTTAATAACTTTTCCGGAAAAATACATAACATAATTAACTACTAAATGTATTTTCCGGAAATATTATTTCCGGAAATATCCATAACTATATTATACATTCTGGGAAAATACATATTAAGTAAAATATTTTAATTGTATTTTCCGGAAAATACACAAATTTTAAAATACATTTTCCTCTAGATTTAAACAAATAATCCCCCAATATTTTTACTTGTTTTTATTTTGTTTTTATTTTTATTTTAAAAGAACATTTAGGGAAACCCTCTTAATTTTATCTGTCACAAATTTAAAGATAACATTTATTTCTATAAAAATATTTTTAAACAAAAATAGTCAAAACTCTTAAAAATATCAAGTCAAAATCTGAGGAAACTCCTGACCCTTTAAAATATTACACAAAAAAAAATAATAAAAACAAAATACCCAATTTAATTTTTGACAAAAAAAGATATTAAATGTTTTTTTTTAATTATTTATTATCAACTGATTTTTTTTTGTTTTTAATAAAACTGGCAATAATCGTCTCAAATGATCGAAATTGAAAAGACTGTTAATAAGTATCTGTAAGGGTTGATAATGGTGGTAGGGTTCCTTCAGGGTCGGAGGTATCCCCTGACTCCCTGAGCCTTTGGGGTTGAAGGTATCGGGGATCCGGGTTTGCCGGGGAGGGCATGACGGGGGTCGTGGTCGAGATTAACTTTTGGGTCGAGGTTTCAGGGGACTGGGAGCTATTCTAGTTGAAATAAGAGTTAGTCCTTTCCGAACGAAATAAAAAAGTCTTAATTTTACCTCATATCCTCCCTCGATTTTTAAATTTTATTCCGTCAAGTATTCTCTTAAAATTTTGAATTTCAACCTTGATCTATTAAAAATTGATATTTTGGGGTTTTATATATTTTGGGAGGAACACCCTAAAATACTAAATTTTTAATTCCTTCCCTTCTCGTGTCGACGCAGAAGACCCACAGACAGAAGACCCAAAGACAGAAGAACCACAGACAAAAGACCCACAGACAGAAGACCCACAAGGACAGAATACCCACAGACAAAAGACCCACAAATATTTTTTGTTTCCCTTTTATTGTGCATAAATTTTGGCGCGAGGGATGTTGTTAGTTCTATTTGTTTTTCGCAATAAGGGGTTGATCCAACAACGGGAAAGTTGTTTCAATATTAGAAAAGGTAGTTCCAACAATCTGGAGGGTTGTTCCAAAAGTGTGGGACGATGTTCCAATGACAGGGTAGTTTGTTCCGACCACGGGAAAAATATGTATCCGATCAGGTTCTGATATAATAAAGTATAAAAATAGCTAATTGGCCTTCCAAAATTCTTAGAATTCGCATCTGTGTCGCTAAAAAGGTAGAAAACTGACTTCTTGGCCTTTCAAAATTTCCAAAATTCTTATCTGTGACGATGAAAGGGAAAGGTAGATCAAAGAGGTATTTAGAATCAAGTGTTATTTAGAAGCAAGGGGTATTTAGGATTAACTGGATTATAGCGAGAGTCACGAGAGTCAGTTAAGTCCACATAGAGGGATATACATGTATTAGAAGCGATCAAGGGAATTGGAGATATGCAAGGATAAGGGGATCTTTGGGAAAGTATAGATTACTTATATTTCTGAGTAACATGGAGGGATATCGGTGGATAAAAGCGGTTTAGTGGTAAAAGCTTAAAAGTTTACATCCCTTGTAATTCCCAGACATATCCGATTTGCTGTTAATTTCATTCTCCTAATTCCAGTTATAAACAATTCACGGATAAGAATAGATATCGGTAGATTCGAGATTTTACCCCTATATTCTCTATATCCCACGATATTCCTACATATCCCAATTAACACCCGACTTTTCAAATCACTTTTTACTTAAATGATCTTTATAATAATTTTTTTATATTTTAAAATTTATTAATTTTGTGCCTTGAGAAATTGGTAATCTTTTTCAGGAATTTCAAAAAATTTCTTTTAAAGTTTTAGTTTAAAAAATTTCTTGTGGGTCTTTTGTCTGTGGGTATTCTGTCCTTGTGGGTCTTCTGTCTGTGGGTCTTTTGTCTGTGGTTCTTCTGTCCTTGAGTCTTCTGTCTGTGGGTCTTCTGTCACTACGCCTTCCCTTCTTGTCCTTTTTTAATCGGTTTTTATAGACGGTTGTTATTCTCAATTTTTCTCTCTTTTTTAATTCAAAGTTCAAATAGGGAACCCCCAAAAAAAGATAAAAAAAAGGTAAAAATGTTCTTCCAAAACCCGTGATATTTTTATTTTTGCCCATTATTTACGTGATTTATGAAGGAAGAAAAAAATAAATTTTATATAAACAATAAAGTCCCCTTGAACTTTGTCGGGATTAGAAGAAAAATAATGAATGAAATTTTGTTGTAAACAAGGAGGGAAGCCCCCAAGGTTAAAAATATACTTAAAGTAAATATTTTTAAAGCGGGAATCCCCTAAAATGATAAACCTTCTATTCCCCGCTACATTGCATGAGCATCCTAAAAAATAATCCTCCTTGGGTGACATGTTACATATGAGTGATGTTCGGAAGAAGAAAAAACTCGGAAAACGTGAGTCGGTTGGGAAATGACCTCGGACATCACTAATACACATATGTATCAACGATGGGCTCTCTTCTACAACTTTTATTGTCTCAAAATAAATATTTTTAAAAGGGTAATTCAACAATGTGTGGAGTTTCCCAAGATGGTCCTCTTCTCTTGGGAGAGAAACCTCTTCAGTTTCCGCTCTGTCTTTCACTGTATACGGAAATTTTTTTGGTGGTTTCCGTAACTGGTAGTTCCCCAAATTCCTGCTAATTTGTAATATGAGCATCTCTCTTTTTTTAATATTTTTTCTTGAAATAAAGTCTTAGTTGACTTTTTTATTCAATAACCTTCCTCATTAGATACGTGATTCAGGGTAGGTTTTATTTCAGTGAATAAATGATTAGGTAATAAAATTTTTTGTGAACATAGAGGGAAACCTAAGGTTTAGGAATGAGTTGAAAAATGTGATCTCTCTACTCTCCTCACCTCCAATCTTTTTTTATTATTTGCCAAAAATATAAACAAAAAAAGACACAAGACTTGACAAAAAAAATTTTTGGGGAAGCCGTTAACCTTCTCTCTTTCCAAAAAAAGAGGTTGGTCTTTTTTGGGGGATGACTGCCTCTTTCTATTATTATTTTCCCTTTTTTGGTTTTAGGAAAGACCACAATCGTCACTGAACATCACAGACTGAAAAAGAGAATATTTTTTAAATTTATTTACTATTTAAAGAAGAAAAATTCAATTTACTCCCCCAATTCATTATTTAAAAATGTTTGGGGAACCCCTAACCACATTTTCAAAATTTATTGAGATAGACGACCATAAAAATGCGCATATAAAATGTTGATAAATTAATTTCATTTTTTTGATAAATTAAAAATTTTTATTGTTTCATTATTTTAACTTTATTTGAAGGAATTATGGTCCTTTCTCCTTAAAAAATGTATCTTCCTTTCTTTTTTTATTTTTAAGATGACTGAGAGCAGTGCTGCGTACTTGGCATTTGTTGGCTCCGGCTCCTTGCTCCGGGCCTTTAAAATCTTAGCTCCGGCGGAGCCGGCTCCGGAGCCATACCCAGCACTGACCGAGAGTCTGTAAGATTGTTTGGGTATATTAAACAGTGCCTAGTTTAAAAAGCTTGCTCTCGGTCTTAAAATATACCCACCCCTCCCCTTAAAATAGTTTCAGTAGATGTTTTATCTCAATGTTTTATCTAATGTTTTATCTAATGTTTTATCTCAAAATTTCAAAGCTAAATTCTTTTTTTAATTTAATTTTTTAAGGCTAGTTCAGGAATGTTTCAAAAAAAAGTCCACCTTTGACATCCTTCACAAGCTATCCCATTCTTCCTTTTCTTACATAATCACTCATAATCTTTTTGATGGTGGTATGGGGGTGGTGGGATGTTGAGATGCTGTTTCAAAATTATATCATAAAATAAAAATCCCCAACTATAGAAAGTGTTTAGCAAAAGTCAACTCTGACAGTGACAACTCTTAAGAAGATTTCAAGGCCTAGCGGCCTTGCTCACACACTGAGCTACCGGGGCGACGACTAATGCTTTCTCTTTTATCTTTTTAGATAAAAAGAAATAAAAATTTCCCTTCTTTAGGGTAAAATTTTTTTTATTACTTTTGGCCTTTAATGCATTAACAACATTTTTTTCTTCTTTTTTAAACACATTTTTTCAAATAATTTTTTCTTCCACCCTTTAATTTTTTATTTCCATTCAGATATCCACCTCTCTACATTTCACATTTTTAATTTGCACCATGTGCTTTTGCTTGGTTTTCAGTCGCGAACGGCGCTAGGGGGAACACCTCTCTCTCTTTCACTTTTTTACACAAGCTGCATAAACACGAGGGCAGTCGAATCCCATTTTACGCCCACGGGAGAGAATGATTAAGTACAAATACAGCATAGAATTATTTTTTATTTAAGCTTGCTTTAGAAAATCTATCTAAAATTTTAAAATTAAAAAGCAGCATGGAAGGAAGCTTTGCTTTCGTTTTTTAAATAAATCCCCCCTCTTAAGAAGATTTCATCAGATAATTTTTCTTTATCACTTTAGTACATACCGTAAAAACTGTATTAACTACCCTGGGTAATTATTGTTTCGATCTCTCGCTGGAGGGGGTAATAAATGAAGGCGGGGTAATTAATAGAGGTTATTTTAGAAAGGCTAATTATAACTATTTTTAAGGGGGTAATTAATGTTTTCAACCTTTCGCTGGAGGGGGTAACTAATACAGGCGTGGTAATTATTTGAGGGAGGGACATTAATACAGTTTTTACGGTATTTTAATAGCTCCAATACTTCTATGCTTCACATGTTTCTGAAATCAGAAAAAATTTTTTTTGAGATTTGCTTCAGAAATTAGGAGAGACACCTTTGTCCGCAAATTTTATCCGTAAATTTCTTCAGCAAATTTTTGTCCGCAAATATTTTTTTTCGCAAATTTTTATCCGCAAATTTTTGTTCCATAAATATTACCAACCACTTTTCATATAAAAAATCTCGTGGTAACACAAAAAGAACGTGGAAGGAAAGACTTAAGAGAGGGGCATTCCCAAAGCAGTGCAAAAAGTCACGGGAAACAATAAAAAAAAACTAAACGACCACCACTGCCTTCCACCAATTTTCAGTCTTTAAATATTTAAATAAATTCAAGGAAATTTATTTGGACAAAAATCAGAGAAATCACTGTGTCTCTAAATTTAATTTTGTGTTTGGAGAATTTGGGAAAATAATAAAAAAAAATTATTTAAAAGTCACGCGCTAAAAATATTTAAAAATAAGCAAAAAATGAATGACTAGCAAAGTTAATAAATTATTTTATTTAAATATAGGAAAATTTATAGGGAGAGTTAGTGATTTAAAATTAATAGTGGAAAATGTGTTTTACTGTCAGTATTTTTTCCAGTCAAGTAAAACTTTGAGTTTTGTGTTTTCTTTCCGGAAAATACATGTATTAGTATTTCTATATTTCTGCTATCAAAGGAATTTAATTTCCGGAAGGCAGTGTATTTTCTTTCCGGAATTATTTATAGGAATGTGTATTTTCCGGAAATATTTCTCTTTCCGGTTCTAAGGAAGTGAATAAAAACAATTTTGTGTGTTTCTTCCGGAAAAGAATTTATTTTGTATTTTTTTCTTAAATTTTCCGGAAAGAATTTGTGTTTTTTTCAGGAAAATAATTATTTGTATTTTTGTAATTAATACTTTTTCCGTATTTATTCCGGAAATACTTTGTATTTTCTTTTTTAATTTTCCGGAAGGTAATATCGGTTTGTATTTTCTTTCCGGAAATTTTATTTCCTTCTATTTCTCTTTCCGGAAAGAATTTGTGTTTTTTCAGGAAAATACTTTTTGTATTTTTGTAATTAATACTTTTTCCGTATTTATTCCGGAAATATTTTGTATTTTCTCATTAAATTTTCCGGAAAATACTGAATATTATTTATATTATTTCAGAGTAAAAATGTTTAATATTCCAACATGTTCACCTCTTAACACTTTAAATAATGACAATAATAACAAAACAATTCCAAAATCCTTAGCACAATTGTTAGCAGATCGTCGTCCTTCTTATTCCGTTAGTATTCCCAGCGAATCTAGAAAATTAAGCAGAGAATGTAGAAGGAAAGGGAGCGAGCAAGTTTGTGGGAGGGCTGAAGAGGCGAATAAAGGTTCTTCTATCATGGTAAGTTAACCGGAAAAAATTTTTGTACCTAAAATCTGTTTAAATTTCAGCTTCCCCTTCCGCCTCTGAAGGAGTCAAACAATGCAGAAATCAAAAAAAATTTACAACAAAAAATACAGCAATGCCAACAATTTGTGGAGTGGGGAGAGGAGGAGAATGAAGAAAAGATTAATGAAAGATTAGTAAAAACGAATGCTTTGGAGGAAGTAATTGAATGGGTTTCTAATAGTTCTTCAAAAAAATTGGAGGAAGAGGACAATTTAAAGCGCGGACTGGTTGATATTGTCCGGTTAAATTTATTCAGGTTGGTATATTAATAAGCGATATCCTTAGATAAAAAATACAAAATAAAATGAGGGCTTAAGAGGTGGGTCTGATGTCCGATATCCGGCTCTTCCGATTCTGACACCTCTGACTGTTCCGACCCACCTCTGTTGGGTATCTAATATTACGAAACAATAAGAATCAGGTTTAGCATAAATATAGTCAATTTTTCCGGTGATTTTCTTCTATGTGATATAATTATTGCATTATCTTTCCCAAACTACAGACAATTTGACAAATCCAATACGAGGATTGAATAAAATCCTCTTCCCAAAAATTATTCCGAATTATTACCCTTAAACCGTTACCATGGTATGTTTTCCTTAAATAAAATTTTAAATTTATTTTTATATATTATGTAGATAACAAAAAATTTTTTCAGAATTCTTCCACCAAGCGAAACACAAGAGAGTTCAGCAACAGAAGAACTGACAGATATTGGTCTAGATTCTCGGCTAACATCCAACTCCCATTTAGAACCAAATTGGCCCCATTTACTCCAAGTTTATCGTCTACTACATTTATTAATTGAAAAATCAAGTGATGGCGATCATACTAAATTTACTGAATTTAATTCAAAATTTATTGGAGATTTACTAGAATTATTTCACTCAGAAGACCCCAGAGAAAGACAACAACTCAAAAAAGTGGTTCACACACTCTACAGTAAATTGGTGCCTTTAAGGCCTGAAATTCGCAAAAGGATGGGGTGGTTGTTGTTGGAACATGTCTATGAAAATAGGCAGTGTAAAGGAGTTCCGGAAATTTTGGAAATTCTTGGAGATATAATTAATGGGTAAATTATTTAATTTTTTGTGGTTTTAGGTGTGTTTAGAAAAGTAAGGTTTCTTTGACCTCTGCATCTGAGGCAGTTCAGTTTTATAAAAAAATTTTAAGTTCTACTTAATATTAGATAAATGAATTTATTTTATTTATTAATATTGAACTTGAGCATTGTATTAGGAGGAAGAGATTAAGAGGGGTATCGAATTTTTGGAGCGAGGATTGGATAACAATCCTCTTAAATCTGTTTCGTAAATCTTAAATAATGACCGGCATTACTTAAGAATTCGAAAAAATTATTTATCTTTTTTCTTCTTCGGAAAAATGTTATCTGTTTTGATAAAAAAATTTAATTTTTCTAAAATTCACTTATAGTAACTTTCCGGAAATATTTAGTATCTTATTTTTCTGGAATTTTGGTTTATAAAAGAATCTTCAAAGTAATTGAATCCCTCAAGCTATGTAATCGCATTTTTGTCTACTCAATTCCATCCAGAATATTAGGATAAAATGAAGGTTTAATTCTCCAAGTTCCTCTTAACTAATTTACAAGCTTATTTTAATTTTTTTCAGTTTCTGCGTTCCTCTAAAACCAGAACATCGCCACTTTTTCTTAAAAATATTACTTCCCCTACACAAGCCAAGAAATTATTTGCTATATTTTGCTCAACTTTCAAATTGTGTTGCTTTATTTATCGAAAAAGATTTTAGCCTTGTAAAGCCTACTTTTGACTATTTACTTGGAAAATGGCCTAAAGATTATTCGGCTAAAGAAGTAAATTTCTCATAAATTTAAAAAAATAAAAAATATTTTTAAAGGTTTTATTAATAACGGAAATTGAAGAAATATTGAGTCGAATTGGAAATAATGAATTTAATTTAATTTGTAAGGCTCTCTTTAGACAGTTGGGAAAATGCGCGTCAAGTCTGCATTTTAGGGTAATTAAATATTAGTGTAAAATCCTATCGGAAACCAAAATACATTTCAAGAAAGTTATGACATTGTAAATACATTCCGGAACTAAATATTTAGTTTCCGGAAAATTCTATTTATATAGGAAATATTATATGAAACATTCCAGAAACAAAATACAAACTTTCCGGAAATGTATTTTTTTCCGGAAAATTCCAATTACACCATAAAAGTGTAAAATACTTTCCGGAAGCAAAATACAATTTTTTCCGGAAATAAAATACACTTGAAGACAATTTATTTTATATACGACTACATACTTTCCGGAAAATTTAGTAAATACCCCTTGTTTATACTTGAATACTACAAAATTAGTTCCCGAATCAAAACACAATTCATTACGAAATGATTAATAAAATTTGTGTGTTCTTCAAATTCTCGATCCTCCTATTTCTAACCTTTATATTTTCGATGTTTAGGTAGCTGAACGGGCACTCCAGTTATGGAACAGTGAAACAATTCTCTCCCTTATCACCCCAAATTACAGCCATTTATTATTTCCCATAATGCTGCCAGCATTGTTTAAAGCAAATGAGGCAAATCATTGGAAAAATGAAATTAATAATTTGGTAATTTTAAAATTTAATTTTGAATGTTTTGAATAATATTGAAAATATAACAAATATTGTTAAAGTTATAAATAGGAATATTAAAAATTTCCGGAAATAGAAGAAGAATAAACACACCAATACAATAATACTTCTTTCCGGAAGATATACCAATATATTATAACTTTTAAATAATATAATATAATACATTCCGGAATATTTAAAAAATTCCGGAAACAATAAAATACAAAAATATTTTCCGGAAACTTTTTTCCGGAAATATTAGAATTTCCGGAAAGTTTTCTCCGGAAATACATATTTTCCGGAAAAATCAATTTCCGGAAGTGATTATTAAATAATTCCGGAAACCTTGTGTTTTTACAAAAAATACAAAATAACTAAATGAAAAACACAAAAGCTTTCCAGAAATAAAATTAAATTATAAACAGGTGTACAAATCATTAATGAGACTAAAACGAATGGACTCAACTTTATTCAACTTGTTAACTTGCGATTACAACGAAAATGAAAATTACCTAAAAATTAAAAATGAGGAAAATTTATTTTTGATTAAGAAAAATGAAAAACACATAAATTATTCAAATTGTTCAAGACAACATTTAAATGAAGGGAACAAAGAAGTAAGGGGGAGATGGCTATTGTCTGATAAGGATTTTTAGAAATATGTTTTTTTATTTTTCGATAAGAAAATTTTATATACATACATATTATTTGTATATATTTATTAGCTGTAAAAATAATTTATGTATTTTTCTGTTAAATAAAAAATACAAACTTTCCGGAAAGGAAATATAACACTGTTGTTTGTATTTTCTTGAAGGGAAATGTATTTTTCCAGAAATAAAATACAAAAAATAAAATACAAAATTCCCTTTAACAAGTCCGGTTGGTACCATTACAGACTTGTCTTATCTTTACTACCCATCTAATAGTTTCAGAAATACAAAAGGTGATGTATAAAAGTCTGAAATCTCGAACAATGAACACACCAGTTTAACGGCGCCGGTTCCCGTTACATACAAGGCACGCAAAACGCACTTTTCAGTGCGACTCTTCAGCTAGATTAGATGTCGTGGAAACCTAATGTAACGGTTGTATCCGGTTGGAGTCTGTTGAATGGTGTTTAATTTTTAATTGAAAAATTGTAGTTTATGGATCTCAAAATAAATAGCAGCAAACTTTATTGCAGTGAATGTACTGTAATATAAGAATGCCATTGTTGTATCCGGTTGGAGTCTGTTGAATGATGTTAAAATTTTGGAATTTTACATATTTTTGATTGAAAACTTTTAGTTGCCTTTGCGTTATTAATTCAAGTAAGATGACTATAGATTGTAAATTTTTGCGGAAGAAAGGATAGATATGGAAGTGGATTTAAATATTTGCCTGGACAACTGGTTAATTAATGCAAAATCGGAAAAATAATAAAAAAATCCAATTCTAGCTAGAACGCATTAACGGAAACAAAGCCGTCTCTTAATAATATTCACATTCTTCATCATCAGGTTTCTCGTTCAGATCAAAAGGTATCTCGTTCAAATCAAAAGGATGAATTTTCTTGTTCGCATCCACATTATTTGTGTCTTCTTCAAGAATTTTATTTGGCTCTTCTACCTCTATTTGATTTTCCCGATCCTCGCCATTATTGCATTCTTCCTCCATTTGACTAGAAAGATTTTCTTCCTCCTCGCAAACAATTGGTAATTTACCTTTATTATTAAAATCACCAATTTGTGGATTAACATTTGAAGTTCCTTCGTTATTACCAGATTTATTTTTCTTGTTTTGACGGTATTTTCGAAAATATTCTTTGCGCTTTCCTGCGTTAATTTTGTTATACTCTTTTTGGTAATCCCGTATACTTTTTTTTATTTTCTTGATAGTAAACCTTTTTATCACTTTTTATCCTTTCTTTATTCCTTATATAGTAATTTCGATTGGTCTCAGATACCTTTTCTTTGTTTAGTTTTCGGTAATTTCGACTATTTTTAAGCAACCTTTCTTTATTTTTCCTGTAATATTCTTTATAATAGTCACTTCTATTAGACACTTTCTCCCCTCCATTACCTTTGTCCTTTTCTGTATTATCTAATTTTGGGTTTAACTCTTCCTTATCCTTTTGAATTTGAGGATTAACCGACGATTCAGCCCCATCATTTAAAGTTTTAGATGCCATGTAATCCTTTTCAAATTGTCTAGCTAAACCTCTTCGAATTGGAGTAGTTTTAATAGATGTCCATAATATTGCATTGAAGGTTGAAACGATTAAAAAGCCAACAAGTTTCATGCTAAACATTTTTAAAATTTAAATAAAAATTAATGAAAAATAATATATTACATAAATAAGAATTGCATTTATATAAACAAGAATTTGAGTGTATACAAAAAAGTGCAATATATTAAGGACATCTTATGATATACGCCACATGAAAGTATATATCCGTCCCACAAAAGTATATGCGTCCCGTAAAAGTATACATATGCGTCCCACGAAAGTATATGCGCCCCAAAATTAATATAAGCGCAAAACAATTAGTAAACATTTTTTAAATTTTATTAATGACAATTAAATATTTTATTATATAGTAAAGCTTGTGCCGGGCCAGGATGGTATTGGGATCTTGAGTAGGTTGCGTGGGATGTTAAGGGGCCCAAGAGGCAATGCCGGTGGAGTATATTACGGAGCGGAGGGTATGCCTTTCTATGCGTTTGTATATTGCTGGTCAGTTACGAGACTGACTTGTTTGCAGTGATGGGAAAGTTCCAAAATTTCTCTGGAACTAGTTCCAGTTCCAGAACTAGGTTTTTAATTTCTTTAGTTCCCGTTCCAGTTCCGGAACTCCATTTTTAAAATTCCTTAGTTCCAGTTCCAGTTCTGGAACTAGTTCCAAGCTAGTTCTAGTTCCAAACTTTTAAATTTTTTTGAATATGAAAAGATTATCAATTTTAACAAATAAAGGCATAATTTAAAAAATCATTTAGTGTGCGGAAAAATCGCATTCACGGGATTCCGTCGAGGGATTTTTTTCAAAATTCCCGCTAGATTAATCTCGTAATCCCGATAATCCCGTTCTAAAATTTATTAGGATCCTGCGGATAGCGGGATCCTTTTTACGTAATAGATATCGAAGAGATCAGAGGATTTGAAAGGGTTAAGGGATTTGAAAGGATATCTGGGAATTCACTCTTTCAGCGCCGCAGGCGAAAATTTTTAGAATTTTGGAGTTCAAGCAGCCAGATTTCGGCTAAACTGCACTTTAGTAAAGCAATTTAAAAATAGATGATTTATATGTCATTCGAAAGAGCTCGGCGAGCTGAGTCAAATGGCACCAAAATTTTTCCGCGGAAAAAATTCTGAGCAGAGTTACAGACCCCTAAAGTTCAAAAAACCATAGGGGGGACCAAGCTGTTTTCTGGGGGTGAAAAATTCGAATATGCAAATTATACCTCATTCGAAAGAGCTCTCCGAGTTGAGTTGAATGACACCAAATTCAACGAAATCTGACTTGTTCTGACAAAGTTATGACCGTTTGTTTTTATCCCCTACATAGGGGTCTACGCGGAAAAAAGTTTTTGCCGCTGCGGAGGAAGCCGGGCATGTCGAGCGGAACGACGGCCGCCGCTTCGCTACGGTCGCCGCGAGCGAAGCGAGCACGACCGCAGCGAAGCACGGCCATCGTGTAGCGAAGACCATGCCCGGCCTACCCTCCGTAGCAGCACAAAAACAGTTTTTCCAGCGAAGATTCTGTTGGTCATAACTTTGTTCAGAATCATCCAATCGAGCTGATTTTTGTGTCATTCAACTCAGCTCGTCGAGCCCTTTCGAATGAGCTATTATTTGTATATTCGAATTTTTTGACCCCAAAAATCCCCCCACAAATTTGACCATTTCGAGCCCTGTAACTCGGCTCAGAATTTTTTCCGCGGAAAAATTTTGGTGCCATTCGACTCAGCTCGCCGAGCTCTTTCGAATGACATATAAATCATCTATTTTTAGATTGCTTTACTAAAGTGCAGTTAGGCCCAGATTTCTTCCATACTCAGCGCGCTGCAGGTAATTTTCGAGGAAATCTTGTCAAAAATATACCCCCAAGAACTAGTTCCAGAACTAGTTCCAAAGCTAGTTCCAGACATTTACTAGTTCCGTAGTTCCAAGCTAGTTCCAGGCATTCACTAGTTCCGTAGTTCTAGTTCCGGAACTGGAACTGGAACTTTGCCCATCACTGCTTGTTTGTGATTTTTAAAAATATTTTTTATTATTTTTCGATCAGAGATTTTATATATTTTTCTGTTATGTAAAAAATACAAACTTTCCGGAAGAGAAATATAAAACTGATGTTTGTATTTTCTCGAGGATAAAAGTATTTTCCCGGAAATAAAATACATAATAAAGAAAATACAAAATTTCCCTTAACAAGTCAAATTGGTACCAATACAGACCTATCGTATTTTTACTACCCATCTAATAGTTTCAGAAATATAACAGGTGTTGTATAAAAGTATGAAATCTCGAACAAAGAACACACCAGTTCAACGGCGCCGGTTCCCGTTACATACAAGGCACACAAAACGCACTTTTCAGTGCGACTCTTCAACTAGATTAGATGTCGTGGAAACCTAATGTAACGGTTGTATCCGGTTGGAGTCGTTGGCTGGTGTTTAATTTTTAATTGAAAATTGTAGTTTGCTGGATATCATAATAAATTTTGTAATGTTTTGTAACGTCCTGCATATCTCTATTAAATTTTTTCTGAGAGATATGAGTTACTATCTTATAGCAAATTTAAAGGGCTTTCGAATGAGCCCAAAATGAAATTTTAAAACAAACGATAAGGGGTCGAAAATATTTTTTGAATAGCCTTATCCACGATTTACGTTGATTTCGAGGTATCTGGATCTCGACACCCAAGCGAGATATGGGTCTAATTCTTTTTTATTTTTTCTTAGAATCAATAAATATGTTAGGTCAAATTTTTTAGATTTTTCTTAATGTTAGAAACTCTAAATCTCAAAGTGGGGCTATAATTTTGTGGAACCCTAAAATTTGAGATTTGCTATAACTTTCGAAAAAATTGATTTGAAAACGAAATTTTTTTATAAACCTAATCTTAGACCACTATTTATCATTACAAAAAAGTCTGAAAATAAAAACAACGGATACAGTATGAAAACCGAGAAAAATATAGGTGGGGCTATAATTTTGTGGAGGAGTGTTGTGTTGCCGGTGAGTATATTACGGAGCGGAGGGTATGCCTTACTATGCGTTTGTATATTGCTGGTCAGTTACGAGATTGACTTGTTCGTGATTTATAAAAATATTTATGATTTTTCGATAAGAGATTTTATATGTATATTATTTGTATATATTATTAGCTGTAAATAATAATTTTTGTATTTTTCTGTTAAATAAAAAAAATACAAACTTTCCGGAAGAGAAATATAACACTGCTGTGTGTATTTTCTTGAAGGGAAATGTATTTCTCCGCAAATAAAAATTTACAAAAAAAGAAAATACAAAATTGTCTTTAACAAGTATGGTTGGTACCATTACAGACTTATCTTATTTTTACTACCCATCTAATATTTTCAGAAATATAACCGGTGTTGAATAAAAGTCCGAAATTTCGAACAATGAACACACCAGTTCAACGGCGCCGGTTCCCGTTACATACAAGGCGTCTACACAAAACGCACCTTCAGTCTACCTATATTTAACAACATCTTATCAAAATTCGCGTATTTGTGTAGAAGCCAAATTAGGTGTCGTGGAAACCTAATGTAACGGTTGTATCCGGTTGGAGTCGTTGACTGGTGTTTAATTTTTAATTCATTGCTGGATTTCAGAATAAATTTTATAATGTTTGTAAAGACGTTCAAGACTATTGGTATTGAGACAAAGTCATATTCTTGGATTTTTTAGGTCTTCAAAAAGTGTGACTTTTGTGAGATTGTAAAAATTTACCCTGCGGTTACAGTGAAAAGCACTGGACAAAAACGCATAAGACGCAGAAAAAGTTGTTAAATTTACTATGTAAAATCAGAATATTTGTCTAGAGTCATATAAATTTTGGACCTTAATTTTATAGTCTAATGTCTTTAAATTCTATTAGATAAACTTTTAATTAAATAATTTAATATCAATTATTAGAGTTACTGTAAAGTTTCATTTGCTACCCATGCAAAAGTTTGGAAAATAAAAAAGAGTTTAAATATAAGTAAAAAATTCTCAAGTAAAAGTACACTGTTCCAAAAACGCTGGTTCACTTCACACAATCATAAAGTACAAAATGCTGCCAAAATTGCACGCTTCATGATTGGCGGCAAAATGTGGATGCAGGAGGTGGAGGGTGTATCCGGTTGGAGTCTTAGTAATGGTGTTAATTTTTTAGTTATATTTTTTAGCAGTAAATACTTTTACCGAGTAACATTCTTTTTCAGCCCCGTCACTTACATCTAACGATAAGTATCCCTTCATTTTGACACTTGCACCAGTACTGGTTATTGTACATTAAGCGCTCCGTCTAAGACGTTTTCCTTATCAGGCATACCTATCTCATGGCATTTCAAATTATTTGCTTAGGGAACGGAGCCTGTGAATTACGGAGCCGCTCCATTTCGCTCACTGAACCATATCCAACACCGTTGTGACTTTTACAGCCAAGGTTATAAAAATAAGAACAAATTTAGCCTAAAAATACTACTATTCTGTTTTTTAATAGTAAGGTAATTTATCATTTGCTACTCATCAAAGAGTTTTGGAAATTAAAAAGGAGTTAAATAAAAAGGGAAACTACAACTAAAAATGCATACCATTTCAACGACGCCGGTTCCCTACACTGGATCATGATATTTACTAGTTCTTTCGCCCAAAGCAGTTGGTATTCATGATCGGGCAAGCTGCGGTGTTCTGTAACGCCGTTAGGAGGTGGTGTAGTTTTGTATCCGGTTGGAGTCTGTTGAAAGGTATTAATTTTTGGATTATTTAAGGGACATTTTTGTAAGTAAAAATTTATTAAAAGTAAAAATTTCTGTGGTAAAATTACACCATATCAACGGCGCCGGTTCCCGTCACTTAATCATGAGTTCAGTGGACTCAGGTGATTGAGGTTTTATCAGGTTGGAGTTTTTAAAATGGTGTTAAAAAATTTTTAGAATTTTTTATTTGAGTTATTTTAACATTTTTTAGATGAATACATGTTATTTACTAATTAGTCGAATTTTGTGGCCCGACACTTAATGAAAAGAATTTTGCGGTTTTTAAGCCCAAAATGGTGTTTTTACGTTGGT